CAGTTGATCTGATTGCAGTGCTCAGATTGTTTGCCTTTCGTATGAGTATGATGGACAGCGCATCATGAATTCAAGAAAGTTTTCATCCAGTATGTTAGAATTATCCCCTCGACTAATGGTATTCTGATCATTTCCCTAGTACAGCATTATCTGCTCGCTTCTGAAGTTCGACAACTTTATTTACTTTAATTTATGCATAAACGCTTCCATTTATAGACTTATTCATAATGTTTGCAGGTGTTCATTATTTCTCTGAATGTTGCTCGTACGTCTTTTGTAATAACGCCATTAAGTAAAGTCATTTCAGTCTAACTCATTTATTTGTCAGGCTTGAATATCTATTTTAATATTTGGGTTCCGCTACCTTTTTACTAATGCACAATCTTTCAACTAAACTTATTTGTGAATTCCCGGATGATGGCTGAGCTAGTTTCTCACCACACTAGTTTGAGGGAACTATTACTCGTCAGATTTTCTTTCAAATGTGAATTAGAAACTAAAGACACCACGAAAAGATGGTAACCGGCCATAACTCTACAACAGGACATCTAAGAGACTGGATACAGTGTTACTTTCCTTCCAGACTCAAGATTAGTGTTATGTGATTGTTTAACTCATCGACCTATTCCCAACAGACTTCGTCTCAGGGGCTGCATTATATTACCTAATCGGGTTTGAAATCATCAGAAGACACACTATTGCTGTGAAGCTGTGGCTGACTGATTCAAAGAGATGAATCCCGACCAGTAGATCACGGGTTTGATCCATGTCGCGGACAAAATATTACGCAGAACCCAGAACACCGTAGCTTGTTACCAATAACAGTTTTCTTCCCTGCATGAGCAGGTGCATACTGATTGTACAGATATAGTTATTTCAAAGTGCATATTACGCCTGCTACCTTAAATCGTCGCTGAGTAGTAACAACCCTAAGGTTGAACGAAATACAAAAACGCACCACATATATGTAATTAAGGCAAAAGTACATATTATTCTGCTTCGTTTATAAGTAGAGCCTTGTAATAATAAAAACTGGTGAAAATATTAAACAGTACACAAAAATAAAGAGAAAGACTGACCAATGTATATTTAAACGAAGTTGCGCAAAAGCATCTTTTCCGCCATCAACCATTTGGAAAAAGATCTGACGAACGCTTGAAAACCCAATCATGTAAGATTTGGATTTGAGTACACAAATGCGAGACTTCCCAAATAACTTTGTGAGTGCCAAGCACTTATTGTTGTAGATATTTTTTCAAAGGGGTGATAAATTCCATTCACATTTGGCATCTACTTAGTTAAAGAAATATTAAAACGCTTGAGCAACAATTCGACTATAGATTTCAGTCACAACGACAAACCGGGGTGGGGTGGGGTCACGATAGAATGTATGACCGTAAATTAAAACCAAGTTACGCAAGATAAGGTGAAGTGTCTGCTGGGTGATAGTTTCTGTGATATGAGGTTAACCTTAATTATTGCTAAGAAAGAAGTGAGAACAACAGTACATGATATAGAAGACAAACTCCGAAATATCGGAACCAAAGTACAGCTGTGCGTGAAGTCACCAAGGTTGCACTACAGACCACGGGAAACAGACAGTTGTCAAAACAAATCTCTGCTATATTTTGTGGAAAGAGTATTTCGGTATCGATACTTTTTCTCTGAGAGAATAAATTCATTCCCAAAATCGAGCTGAGTCATGGATTTTTTTCCGTAGAATCATCACATATTTCAACCGAACAATTTCGGTAGTCGAATAGAGAGACCTAGTGCACACCAATCTTTTTAGAACTTTAGGATCCAATAAACTCGCTCAGGATTCCATATGTTACTCTAAGAAACTACTTCATATCAGATTTCAGAGGAAATAAGGTATTTTAGCAATAATAGTGCATTAAGGTCCATGAGGAGTGACTGGTAATGGGCCTACCATAACTTCTTTATCTCAATACCTTAAGTGTTCTCAGATGATTTTTATGACATCCAACATACATCCCAACAGAACCGATCCTCATATACTGTACCAGTGCTCAATAAGGTTGTCCTTACCAACCCAAGTATTCCCAGCGTACCAGATGAACTGCACTTCCACATTATTAGCACCCTCGAATATAGCTACCTAGCCGCTGGGTACGCTGCTTAGCACACCCGTGAACCAATCAAAGTCGCTGAAGTGTTAGGACGATACTCCACCAGCCCATTCTATAAATCTGCTTAAGTAATTGGTGAATAACTATCGTCAAGTAAATTTGAGTAATATGGTTGGAATGGACCGTGAGGAGTATCATTGTGATGTCATAAGGGGAACGGACTTGTAGCAACAAAACATACTCTCCAAACTAGCCACTCGTGCTTGAAAAACTTTACAGCAGGAGAGGAGTGGGTAGTTAATAGAGATATAAAAAAACCCACATATAACCTACGATAAATGTATGAGACCTCAGGTTTGATGCCGAAATAAGCGACTACCTATCAAAAAATGAGCTGCAGTCCATTCTGTCCTGTTATACGGCTGAGACACCGTTAAAAGTAGAAGATATGAAGTGGCTACACGTTTCTCACCACAGGTGTCTTCGTAACATTACTGGCGTGCGTATGCTGGGATCACCATGAGCATTGTAGAGGTTAGGTGAAAGGTAATAGACGAGGAATGCAAGTTAGTCGACGATGTTGTTAACGCCTAGCGACTGAGGTGGTTTGGACATGCGTGCTCAGCCAACATCTTCCCCGAAGTGAGATACTAGCAGAAGTTGGGAGAGGGTTCAGGGTGGCCAGGCCAAGGCTTGAGATCAACCCATGAAGTCTGATGCTGGTCTGAACCCTATACGGAGGTGTAGACTACCTGGCTGCGGTCCACAAAACGACAAGAACCAGTGACCGAGGACCCTTGACAACGTCGTTGAAGGTAGGCTACAATGATGATAAATTATAGAGCTTGTATACTTCCATTAAACATCATATTGAAATTCCTTCACCATATGTTTGCCTATTTTGATGTCTTTTCTATTCACTTGTTTGCATGTTTTTGTGGAATGTGACAACGTCAACCGTTGCACTCGCGTGCAAGGTTCTACGTTGATTAGCCTGTCTGCGTTGATGTTTACGTTAAGACCTGGATCAACTATTTCCCAGTGAATGAGTTGTTCCGTCTTCCTGGAGATCAATGATAAGTGGTGCACTAAGAGACACTATATCATGTCCACTCCTTGTCCTATACTTAAATGAGCTATTGAGTACAATTAAGTCCTCTGCCCATTTGAAGACAACCGTAAACTCTGCAGAACAATAAAGTGTACATGACAAACTGCACTAGTAAGTAGATATGCGCACTGAAGTTAATCCCGACAAGAACAGATACAAGCTACTGGATACTCGACTCATACTACGTCCTTGCTAAAGATTTCTGAAAATAATGCCTTAAGGGCAATCATCGAAAAATGCAACCAACTGTTGGGCAGCTGCTGACAAAGTATGCAGTTCTCACGAAAGGTCTACGACAACTTTACGAGGAATTATTATCCCACATAATACCTTATTGCAGTGGAGTCCAAAAAGCACGCATGTGATTCAAATGCAAAGCTGACATGATAAGAAAGGGGCTGAAGAGCAGATACAAGGATTGGGAAACGAGTTCCCAGTCAACCCTAACAAAAGAGGCTCGAACACGCGAATATACTAACAGAATGTGTAGTGACCTTAAATTAGCATAGTTAGGATAATTTACTGCACGTCAATGTCTTACTTATTTCTTACCTTAACAAGTCGTCTCAGAAAGCATCATATGCAGCCTCAAAAACCCCACACTCGTCATCTGCATCTGGAAATTTGTCCCCTGCATTAATTTGTAGACCATTGGAACTCCTGTCTATGCATTCATATCAAATCTCGAGTGCTACTTATAGCAGGGATTAAAAGTCTTACCTACTATCCTTATTATTTTAAGAAAAACGACTTCAGGTAGGTTAGTAGGGTTTTGGATTTATGGTGAGGGGCCCCATGATGCATAATAACCACTCTCCAAGTTCATTTTCCTGCTGAAATATGTTGCAATTCTAAAACAGCAGTATCTTCTACCTCTACAATTTTACTGCAGCCAGAGCAATGTAGGACTGTAAGATAGACGGAGTAGCCCTACATACATGGAGCACATAAAAACTTCGGAAACTGGTACGGCCAACAGTAATAAACACCTGCGTAGATATTTCGAAATCCCAGACTACATACAAACAATCTTCGCTATAATTCCCGACTAGTATACTGTCATGACAAGGACATACAGTCGCAGCTGACGTGACGCAAATCAATATTGAAGACAATTTATTGCCGAACAAAACCAAGTGGGGAAAGCAGTGCCTCGATACTCTCATCATCATAAGACCGATAGGTAGATTTGGTACCACTTATGACATCAGGTAATCCACTTTCAGCAATGGTATTGCTAGACGATTCAAGTACTATTCTGTGTTGCTTTCGACCTAGTAGCTAAGTAAAATACCATAATCCTGACTCGAACTTACGGATAATTAGGAACTGTTTTTTTCAATGACAATATCGGTGCAAAGAACAAACAAGCCTGGCTAAAGCGGATGGCATCCTGAGTGGGTTGGTGGAAACTCTAGCCACCTTACACCTCAGGCAACCAGTGGTGTGGAGATATTTGAACAGAAATGAAGTGGTACTGAATGAGTAGCCATAGACGATCCCACGTATTCCTCAAAGTACAGAAAGGTCACTTCCTTCAACAGCTGGTATCGTGCATAGTATTACTTCCATATATTCACAGATCAACATCTTCCCAGTGATTCTGAAAACAACAGAACCTTTGCTGCGTAAGTAGGTGGAACTCCACAGATAAGCGTATGTTGCCACCTCACGATACATTCCCAGTGGGGCCATGTAGCATCCAGAGAGGCAGAATTCGAAAGTTATAAGCTAACTTGATTATTTTTTTTAAAAGTTTGAAAGAAATTCAGACCACTTTATATTCAATTCATAAATTACAAACGTCGACCTCTTCTTCCTCCCTTGCGTCGTGTGCTGTCTGTTGGAATAGGAGTGACATCTTCGATACGACCTATGCGCATCCCAGAACGGGCGAGGGCTCTTAAAGCCGACTGAGCAGCTGGACTTGGAGTGCGAACTCTGAGCAACGTAATAGTTTGTAAAAGTTATCTTACTTAGTTCCACCAGTAGCACGGATGCGTATGTGTAGTGCATTAATACCCAAACTCTTGCACTTTTCTGCGACATCCTGAGCTGCAAGCATAGCTGCATACGGACTGGATTCATCACGATCAGCCTTTACTTTCATACCACCCGTAACACGTACTATTGTTTCAGCCCCAGTCGCATCAGTCACATGGACGAACGTGTCGTTGAAAGACGCATATATGTGACAAACGCCAAACACAAACTCCCCTTCCGCAACTTGAGGCCCAAAGATATTTGCTCCTCAACAACCTTCTTAGCTCCTTTACGCTTGGCCGCCATCACGCTCGTAAACAAATACCGCTCAACTGCCGTTGACCTAGAGAATGTTCAACAAAAGCCGAGAAGTTCAAAACTAATGTTTCACAGAAACATTGTTATCATTACAGATAGCCCAAGAACATCTTGTAATTGCATTCTTAGGAATTAAGCTATTGTATTCTTAGATATCATTTTTATCTCATAGTGGTTTTATCTTCTTACTCCCCTAACTCAAACTTCATATTTGGAAATAGCGAAAGATGGTCCGTGGAAATCTGCATCTGTCTTAATGAAACACATTAATTGTGTGGGATTGTCACAGTTCTTTTTCGGTCCCGGAGGAACTTGAAGGGAGAAGGGTAATCTACTGTTAATCAATCAGCTGTACTGACATTACTGCTACCCAAGATCTCTTAAACATTTAGAAAGCTCCTTAAATACAGCCGGTCAGTTCTAACGGATTTTAACGAAGCATTTAACCTCTTTTAAAAATGTTGGTAAAATGGTGCAAATGATTTTTCCGGAAAGGAATTCCTCGGTTTGTGTTCCATAGCCACAAACAAGTTAGTACGGACCTTTGTGCGCTCTCTCCCATACGCTACTATTAGGGAGTGGCCCCTACGGTAGGTTTTCCCGTTCAAAGCTGAAAGAAATCTTTTCGAACGAAAACGACTACTGGCAGTGTAAGTAGCATGACCGCATCCTCTCCGATCCCCTTGAATTATACCAGCCGCAGCTTAAGAGTGACCAAGCAGTTCGGCTATAGCTTGTACCCCAGTCAACCACTGTTTCTTGGTAATTTCCTCAACCTATTTCAGGAAAGCGGCGTCTTTCTTCGAGCATATGGCATGTCTAGGCATCTCCTTTAGGTGTAAATGAATACACACCTCGTATGCCACAGGGAATAGTCCTTGGGTTAGTTCACTCAAAGACCAATTAAGAAATCCTTACGATTCCGAATGACTTATGCGTTGCAAGACAACAATGAGATAGGACCACAAGTATGCCACTGAGAGTAACTCCTAGTTCTTTTTCGTTGTTCTATTAGGAGATCTGCTTGTCCGAGGGGGTAAGAATTGGAATTATACCAATAATTGTCTACTTTCATCCACACTTCGTTGTCACTTGTGCAACTTAGGATTGTAGATAGGTCCTCCCTGAAGGCAAATGTACCCACTGCAACCGGCGTTTTCGTTACAGCCATCAGATTACCAGCATGTTCAGTGAATAGGACTTTAGAACCCCTGGCAAATCATTCCTAAAAGCAAGAGGCGGTAGTGGTTCGAAGATGAAATTGCGAGGCACAAAAATTGCATCAGAAATCAATCTGAAAAGCAGGAAATAACTATGGCCGGTCACACCCAAATGTAATTGTGACTCCTAACCCAGCCGAGTGTTTTTTACCGTACGGCAATGAGTCTAGTTTCTGGTATATTATACCATGATTAAACCTGTCCAAGACCTGGGAAAAGTCAGGTAGCTGCGTTTGAGTGGAATTTTCTTCTCAGTGGTGAGAGTCCAGGCATTACGAAAATCGATAAGTTGGCATCAAACGACCCTGCAGGTAGAGTTTACTATTAACAGCCAGTATGGACTGATTTTTTAGTAGGTAAACCACAAATTGCAATTTGCCACCCGTTCAATAACCTTTGTAACCGAAGCGGCTAGTGAGACGTCTGCAGCTTGGGACGATTGTCATTCGGTATCTTGCCCCCTAGAAATGGATGGCCGAAGAGATTAAGAACGTCGACAGACTCACTGAGTACTTCCGAATGAATACTATATACCCCCTGTAGTTCGAGTATCTACGTGGGATACGGTAGTTACATCTACTTTACAGGAGCTATTTTGGAATGCCTGGACTTTTAAATCACCTGCCTCAGAGTTAGTAAGGTGAATCACCAAACTACTAAAGTCCCTTGTACCCAGCCGAATGCTACCCTTTTTCCAGCATTGAGTACGATGTCCCGTGGTTCACCTTCACTTTTCAAAGTATATGCACATGGTTGCTCACCCTGTCCTTTCTGACCTTTAATGTACATCTGTTACAGATATCCGTGTAAATTGTCTGGTCATTTTCACTGCTGGTATTCCTGTACTGATTCTAGGCTGACTAACGTATACTTGATAGTGCTTGACTTCATCTAGGGAAAGCAAATATTACTGTTTCTACACTGGAAAATTAGAGGAGTGTCCATATTAACAGTTTGGAGGAGCGTATTCCTCAGCAGCTACAACTAGGAACCCAGATAGAATGAGTTATTTAAATGAAGCCACGTGCGAAGTTCTAGATGTTATCCGACCTCAAAGTCGGTTGTCCTATAATTCCATGACAGTTTCTGGACAAAGGGGGTAGAATTATGCACAGAGATTTTTAAACAGACCAGTATCATTTTGTTCGAGAGGGTTAGGTGAATTTGAGCGACATTTATTGGTCAGTACAGAGCAACCAACTCCATGTTGTCAAGTTACGAGTGCTGACTGAATACTGTCTGTCATATTGCAGCATGGCCATCAGGCTGGACGGCCGAGCACCCAAACACGTTTTGGTGGATCTCAGTTGCCTGGAAGCAATGAGTATGAAGCCGTGAAATTAGACCTCGGTTTTTCTGACTGCCGTCATTTAGGGGCATCCACAGCCCCAGAGGGGCTGACGTCTACCCTGAGGACAGACCCATATCAACCAGCGTTACAGCCAGTGACTCCACCACTCAGCCATTCAAGTTGTACAAAACCCAGGTAAAGGGCTGCCCAACAATTTTTCCGATCAATGTATATCAATCAAGGTTATAATGACTTGAAACTGCGGTGGCCACTATTGATGTATGCATATCTGCTGTCAGCCAGCAAAGTTCACCAACTTCCTAGTGGATTTCCTACCTAACTAAATGGAGAATATACGGTGAATTTGTAGGAAACTTGTATTTGGGCTGACAGCCAAAGCCAAAGGACAAAGGAGAATAAATTTAAGTGTATATCAAGTTCAGCGTTTAAAATTAAATATTGATTAGCTGATCGATCGCCCGCCAGCCTAACTGTAGACGTGGTTACCATAAAGTACACCGTTATCGGTTCACCTCCTGACCAGTCTTTTCTCCCCCTATCCCCTTATCAAAAGTGCACTGTGATGCTGATCCTCCCGGCTTGTTTGCCACATGACTAAATGACAGATAGAATTCAGCCAGCAACAAAGGATAGACAGCACGAAATTAGTTGACCTGGGGCCACCAGAGACCTATCTAGTCCAGCCCCACAGAGGATCAGTCGTGGTCGTAATACCTCACTGGTAACGTTACCGACTACAACACAAGGTGACGGGTGTCAGAACCTCAGGGATGATAATAGTTCCTTCGAGGGTGCAGACACGCCCTAGTGACAAATGCCAAAAATTCGCTGGAATTTAATTCGGATTCAGCAGTGGCACGATCCCCCATGGGGAGTGCCTTACTGTCACACCCTCAGTGATTAACTGTGTGCAAACCCTGACAAGCTAGTCATTGATAAAAGAAAATGTGATCCTGTGGCTAGAAGCAGTGGATCATAAGTCTCTCTAGTTTTGCTCCTATGTTCAAAGAAATAAAGAATCCACGGTTATGGGAAAGCAAATTATTTGTGGTCCAACTTGCATCGCGCCAAGTTGGTATCCGAACGATTGTGACTCGATGGCCCGCCAGACTATGTTAATTCTGAAGTCTCCATAACCGGTTCTGGTGACCACACCCTTGGTGGTTTTCATCTGGTTTGGCCCTCTGGTATCACTCAACCCACTGAAGGGGGACTGTCCCGAACAGCTAGTGCAGCTTTAAAGATCTAACATAATCTACAAATACAGGACGAAACGATGCAGACAAACGTGGAACTTTTATATATTGGCTAAGAATAGAAAGCTCTGCGCACCGATTATGCTACCGTTCGCTTCATTTACACTGGAAACTAGACTCCGAATCCCCTACCGGGGAGGGCCGTCATTCAACCCCTTAATTCCTGATTGATTCCAACAGTACTGAGTTCAGCTACCAGTCCTCACCGGGAAGATGACTGAAAATCATACACTCTCATAACTACCATACTGCCAGGCCAGCCCGGACTGACATTTGAAGCCTAATTTTCTCGTACAATGAAGATTTCTGTCAGGACACGGCGACAAGTATTAAGGTGACACTACCCCTAGACCAGAAACTTGTTCTCTTTAACATGCCTCCGGGTCTTGCCACGGATGACTTTGATGTAACCCGATGGCTATATTGGTCACGTTATGTGGATGACAGAAGGCCAACGAGTGCCCTAGCATATGTGATAGGCTGTGATGATTGGCTTATCCTTCTGATCTCACTGTCATCCTGACTACTTTTGTGAAGCAAAGAACGGCACCACTAAAGGTTTGCCAAGATCCCTCCTGCTGCCGATAATATGCGAAAGGGCGGCTTTTCTGAACAACAAAATGGTTGAATCTGAGTTTCCGTGCATTCCTGACGTGCTTTGCTTCCAATCCAGGGTTTATTACATTTGCAAGCAGCACTTAGAAAAGATATATGGGCATAAACCGAAGCTTTCTGAGAACACTGGATTAAATTATTATGGCAATACTTCAGCTTTATGCTTTTGTGATTGTCCTGGTTCAAACTTGGCAGTTGCAGAGGAAAGTCACTGATTATTCGAACTTGTTACATAACCATGAATACGAGACCAAGGAAGAACACAATAACATAGTCGGATGGGATAGCATATTTCGGTGGTTGTCCCAAGATACCGATGCCTTCCAACTAACTGGCTAGACAGTCGATTACGAGCAGTTCAACGTGACACGACTGCGCGCCAAATGGTGAGGATGCTTGACCGGGT